CTCTGTGCCCCCATCCTCCCTTCGGCCCTTGGCCAAGGCCAGTGCATTTCTGCTCTTGTCCATCTACTGCCTGCACATGATAAACAATATAGACTGTAGGTAGGGACTCAGTGGCTAGGTGACAAGAAACTCTAGACTCCAGACCCTACGCCATCTTCGGCACATGTGGAATATTGTTTTTCTGAGAAGCCATTTCTGACTCAGCTTCCAGAGGATGGTAGCCAGGGCTCTTGGCTGGACACTGTCCCAGGAGAAACAGTTGAACAAACAAGGGACCTTTTTTTTTTTTAATGTTTTATTTATTTATTCATGAGAGTCGGAGAGAGAGAGAGGCAGAGGCAGAAGCAGGCTCCCCGCCTAGCAGGGAGCCCAATGCGGGACTCCATCCCAGGACCCTGGGATCATGACCTGAGCCGAAGGCAGACGCTTAACCATCTGAGCCACCCAGGCGCCCCGAACAAGGGACCTTTAAACGAGGGAGTAGAGGCACCATGATAACTTTCCATAGGAAGGCATGCAGACTTCTTGTGTTGCCAAACTAATGACCCTTGAGTGTCAATTAGATTTAGGAAGCAGGGTTCAATTTATATATAAATGAGAACTTGGTGCTTTTTTACTTGTCTGTTGGTAATTGACAGTTATCCTTAATCGAACAAAACCGTATTTTAGGCATCATGCTAAGTGTGTCCTGTGCGCTGTCTCATTTATTCCTCACACTCAATTCTAAAGGTTTAAGGGTTGTTACTCCCATTTTCTTTTTTTTTTTTTTTTAAAGTTTTATTTATTTATTCATGAGAGACGGAGGGAGAGAGAGAGAGAGAGAGAAGCAGAGGGAGAAGCAGGCTCCCAAGGAGCAGGGAGCCCGATGCGGGACTCGATCCCAGAACCCTGGGATCATGACCTGAGCCGAAGGCAGACGCTTAACCATCTGAGCCACCCAGGTGCCCCACTCCCATTTTCAAATGAAGCTGAGATCAGGGTTTAGTAACTTCACATAAAGTCATCTAGGTGGCAAGTGACAGAGCCAGAACTAGAATTGGTCTGAACCCAGAGCCCCTCCTCACGTACTCCCTGCACTGCAAAGTGTTGAGTAAGGTCAGACTCACCACCTGAGCAGGGGTGCTTCCAGATTCCAGTTCATGGGGAATTGTTTTTGCTGCCCTGGGAGGCCCCTCCAGCCCTGACACTGTGACTTCAGTCTTACCCTCACCTGCATGTGCTGCCATCATCCTGCAGCCCAGGGTGGTGGCAGGACAGTGGCCCAGCCCCCCCGCAGGCCATCCTCTGGCAGCCTGTACCTAGCACACCAGGGGCTGCTGACTCCTGGCCTTGACCATGCTCCCCCTCCTCAGAGTGCGGCCTCCTTTGACAGAGTTGGGGCTCTTTCATCTCTCCTTCCCCCGCCCCCCAGCACCCAGCTTGGCTTCTTCACATGGTAGAGATCTTTTCTGGCCCCTCTCTCAGGGCTGGCCCCAGGTGGTGTCTGACGCATGTTTCCTTCCAAAATCCCAGGATAGAATATGTAACAGTGACTCCCGAAGGATTCCGGTACCGGGGCCAAATCTTCCCTACTGTGAATGGACTTTTCAGATGGTTTAAGGATCACTACCAGGATCCTGTGCCGGGTGAGTTCTGTGCTGCGCTCTGGGGTGTGCTTAGAGGGACAGCTAGGCCCTGGATCTGCCTGCTCACTTGCCACCTCTGGAAGGGGCAAGGCCTGAGCTGTCACCGCAGCTGTCTCACTCCTGCTCCAGCCTCCTGGCATTGAGGACGTCCTCCATCTACTTTGCCGACGCAGCTTCCCTTCTCTCCACCCACCTCAGACCTCCTCCAGCCCCCTACGTTGTGAAACCAGAAATAGGTTTCTGGAGGGACGTAGCTCACTTTGGCCGTTTCCTACAGGCATCACCCCCAGTAGCAGCAGCAGGACCCGGACACCCGCTTCTATCAACGCCACCCCAGCCAACATCAACCTTGCAGGTGAGGAGCTCATGTCTGGGACGGGGAGCTGGAGGGATGGCACCAGCAGGACTTTGACCTCTGACGGGCCCACCCCCCATCTCTGTGTGCTTACAGATCTGACACGAGCTGTGAATGCCCTGCCCCAGAACATGACCTCACAGATGTTCAGTGCCATTGCGGCCGTGACAGGCCAAGGACAGAACCCTAACGCCACCCCAGCCCAGTGGGCCTCCAGCCAGTATGGCTATGGCGGCAGTGGAGGGGGCAGCAGCGCTTACCATGTACGTGGCTTGGGGACGAGGCTCCCTGCGGGGGGTGGGGAAGACTGAACGGGAACGACCATCCGTTCCCATCCCTCCTTTACTGACCCGTGTCCACAGAGTGGCCTCTGGCAGCGCCCACCACAGGGGGCTTCAGACATACAGATGGGGTCGCCACAGCCATAGGAACTGTCTCCAACCCACGGTCCTTTTCCCCGGGCCCACGTGAGGGTAAAGGGAGCAAGGTCTGATTTTTCCGTGGTCCTTTGGGATCTTTGGAACCCTCAAGCGGCCAAGACTGACGGTTGTTGTGCCAGGTCCCATCCTGCTGGCCTCTCTCTGCTGCTTAGGACCACATACTGCTCAAGAGCTGGATGATCAGCTGGAAAGCTCTGGGCCGAGCCCTAGCTTTCAGCTTGCCGGAAGTTCATAGCAAGGCCGAATAAGCCCCAAGCCCATCCCCATTTGACCGTTCTCCTTTCTCCAGGTGTTCCCAACGCCAGCCCAGCAGCCAGTGGCCACACCGCTCATGACCCCCAGCTACTCATACACAACCCCCAGCCAGCCTATCACCACACCACAGTACCACCAGCTCCAGGCCAGCACCACCCCGCAGGCGGCCCAGGCCCAGCCCCAGCCTTCTTCCAGCTCTCGGCAACGGCAGCAGCAGCCAAAGTAAGTATGTGGTCTGTGGCACAGGGCAGGCTGCTAGGGGCAGGTGTCACCAGCCTTCCAGTGGGCTCGGCGTAGGCAGGGGCCTCGGACCTCGCGAGAGCCGTGACCCAGGCAATAGCCCGGGATGACCGCTTTCTGGGAGAAGACAGAAGAGGGCCACGGGGCAGCCGGCTACGGCTGCTTTCTGGAAGGACAGGTGAGGGAAGGCTTCCTTCTACCGAGCTCCCGGAGGGTCTTGATCTCAGAGGCCCCTCCTTTCCGTTTCCAGGTCCAACAGCCACGCCGCCATCGACTGGGGGAAGATGGCAGAGCAGTGGCTCCAGGAGAAGGAAGCCGAGCGGCGGAAACAGAAGCAGCGGCTGACGCCCCGGCCCTCCCCCAGCCCCATGATCGAAAGCACCCCCATGTCCATTGCCGGCGATGCCACCCCGCTCCTGGATGAGATGGATCGGTAGGGGGCCCGCTCCTAGGACTCTGGTTACCTCTGAGGCTGGGAGAGGCCCAGCCGCCCACTGCCTCACTCCCTGCCCCTCCTTTTCTGTCCATAAAGTGGCGTGAATTGACATTCTCTTTGGTGGTCAGCCAGGATGGGTGACAAGCTGGACGGCCTTGCGAATTTGAGTTCAGTGTACGCTAGGCGACAGTTCTCCGACTCCAGGCCCTCACCGACCACCTGTCCCGGGACCAGGCTGGGAGGGGAGTGTGGCGGGGAGGAAGAAGAGGAAGACGAGAATGAGAGTGGAACAGTTTTGTATTCTGCTCCCTACAAGCCATTTTGAGCTTCTGCCCTCACCTGACTCTGGGCTGTGACCCTGGGGCACCAAGCTCAGCACATGAGTCTCCCCCAGCTCTTGAGGGGAGAGGAATGCTATTTATTCAGTTTGAGGCAGGAGGGAGAGGAGGGAAAGTATTTCTGACCCTGATGCCGACGGCTTGGGTGGCTAGCAAAGCAATCGCAGGGGACCTGGGGGAGCAGTGCCAACCTGCCCCGCCCCCGCCTGGCCGCCTTCACCCACCTGCTGCTGCCTCCGCTTCCTGCCTGTCATTTGAATAAACAGTGTTTCTACAGAGCACTTGGCAAAGCGTCTGTCTCCAACGCTCCGGCTCTTGAAGGGTGGCTTTCAAAGCAGTGTGTGGAGCTCTGGGGGCTCACCCTGACTCCTTCCAGGCCATCAGAGAGACAATGACTCTGAACAGCAAGCAGCCTCTGTATCTGACTGTCTGGGGTCACGTCCGTGCTCTGCTCCCCAGCCCTGTGCCTGTTGTCTCTGTAAAACGGAGTGATCGATACCTGCCTCGTCCGGGCAGCTGCCAGGACTGAGAGAGGACGTGTGCGTGCTCAGCCTGGGGCCTAGGACCTCGTGAGGCCCCAGGACCCGTTAGGTGCCGTTACTACACTCACAGCCCACGATCTGCGCCCGCTAGCTTCCTCTGGCACAGTGAAGAGGGGCTGCGCATAAATTTCAGTTTCTCGAGCCCTTGCACCTCTTCCCTGGCTCTTTTTGCCAGCTGGGCCTTGGTCTGTGATGGTAGAGCAGCTCTACACAAGCACAGCTGCCCCAGGATGGGCCCCATGCTCACCAGCTCCCACGCACGCCCTGGAAAAGGAAGTGCCGGGCTGTTGCAGGGGAGGCCAGTCCCCCCTCTTACCAGCTTGGTCCAGCCAGCCCCCTGGCCCTGGCCCCTTCCCCCCAGCCTGACTGCCTCGTTGTGTTCTAGACTCCTGGTATGCCGTGTTTCTTCAGAAGGGCCTCGCCTCACAGCTTTGCAAGTTGGTGCTGGGAAAGTGAGGCTTTCCCTCTCCCTTTCCTCTGCTTGGGGCTCAGCAGAGAAATCAGGAAAGGTCACTACTGCCCAAACTTGATGAGTCTCCCGTCTTGACTTCATCCCGTCATTCAAGATCTCTTTGGCTGTTGACAAGAGTTGGGAGGGAAAGGCTGGTCTTCTGCCAGGAACTCGGTCGGTTCCATTCCCTTCAGCACAAAGGTCTGGAAGGGCCTAGCAGGAGCAGGGACACACCAGCTGGGAAATCACGTTCCCTTAGGTGCCACCAGCGTCTTCCTAAAGGCCACTTAGAGGAGGGAAAGGCCAGGCACAGTGGCACAGAGTGGGTTAAAAGGTTCCATTTATTAGGGGTATCACTGCAGACAGCACTGCCTGAAATCCCCGAGCGGATTTCACACAGACCAGTCTCCCAGGAGATGGGCAGCCTCCTTCCCACCCCACCCAGATGTGCTCCTCTCCTGCCCCGAGCCTAGGATGTTACAGAGAAACAGGCTGTGTCCCCCCCCTGCCCTCCCTCCTACGTTCCCATGGACTCCCTCCTGAAAGATTACCCTTCAGAAAGTCCTGCAGCCCCCTGGCCCCTTGGCTCCAGCTACGCCCAGAGCCCACCCCCTTACCCCCCGCCCCCCGCCCCAGGGACAGGTTGGAGGGAGAGAGAACAGCAGCAGGGGGTCAGCTACAGGCTTGATCGCATTTATTCTTCACCTTGGACGCCCTGGCCTCAACTGAGATTGGGGTTTGATGCTGGGGGAGATTTCCTCTTGACCTTCTTGACTGGTGAGGTCTTGGCCCCAGGTTTCTTAGTCCGGACCGTGTTCTTCTCTCTCCTCCTGGGCGACGAAGACTCCACGATATCCTCGCTGGAGGGCTCCTCCCGCCTGGGGTCGTTGTAACTGTCCTCGCTCTCCAGGTCCTCCGGGCTGTCTGGGCTGGACTCAGACATCCTGGTCAACTCTCTGGGGCTTACTGATCGGCTCAAGTCTGGAGGTAAAGATTCCGATTCCACCGGGCTTTTCTTTTTCATCAACTTGCCCTTCTTGACTTTTTTCTTCGGCTTTACCTTCTCCTCCGTCTCCTCTTCCTTGTCTTTCTCTTTTTCTTTTTTCTTCTTCACCTTCTTGATCACCTTGTTGCCCTGGGACTTCCCCGTGGGGCTCTCAGAGCGCCAGATCGTGACGGGAGCTGCTGAGTCTGGGCTACCTGGGACGGCGCCCGGGCCTGTGTTAGTGGGGGCGGCGGCGGCGGCGGCGGCGGGCCCCACCTGGGTCGGAATGGGAGCCTGGCCTTCCTCCTCCTCCTCCTCTTCATTCAGGTCGTCTGCCACATAGTCATGGTGGACCGGATGGTAGATCACTGCCACAGAGACAGGCCTGTAGCTGTTGCCCCTGGGAGGGAGGGGGACAGGGAGAGAGGATTGACAGAGAGTTGGGGGGCCGGGGCCCCTTAGTGCCGCCCCGTCAGCCTGCCAGCACTCACCAGCCATACCAGAACCGCTCCACACACTCTTCCTCTGGGATGAGCTCAAAGTAAGGGGACTGGATGATGTTGAAACATGCTAAGCCCTCATCTCGGGAGCAGGTTGGGCCCACATCTTGGGAGTTGTCGCTGTTTGTCTTCTCTGAGCAATCCTTCAGCCTGCCACACAGAGGACTCAGCCTGGCTCCCATGCCTCTGTGACTCCCCCCCGGGACCCAGAGCGAGAAGCCCGGGGGACAGCTGGCCTCTGCTGGACTCAGCCCAGGCTGCCAAAAGACCTCCTCCCCGTGGCTCTGGAGCACAGCCAGGTTTACAAAGCTGGGGCCGGGCTAGCAGTGCCAGGTCAAAGCTGAAGGGGGAACCACAGGGAAATCGTGGGCCTAGCTCTGCCCAGCAGTCTCTCCTGGGCTGCGGGTCTCCCAAGGAGGAGGGCCCTTACCTAGAATCACAGTCACGGTGGCTGACAGAGTGCAGGTGCAGGTTGTGGTGGCCACAGTCCGAGGTGAAGGGGTGGATGATGTGCCCAGTGCACTGCTTGTGTTTCCAGCAGCACCTGTCCGGGTCCTTGAATTCACCTGGGGTGGCGACAGCGGCATACCTCTGGGTCTCCCCTCCCATAGCTCAATCTAAAGGCTTCACCAAATTCAGCTGCTGCCACCCACCCTCCCCTTCCCCGGCAGCTTTCTAGGCAGCTTTCTACTTCAGAGTGGTAACCACCCCGTAGGAACCCAGCACTCCCCTCTCCCCTCAGGTCCCCTGCACAAATCCTCCCCCACACTGTCCCAGGAAAATGTCTCAGCGAGTCCCCTTTGCTGCCGCATGACACCTGCCTCTTCCACTCCCTGCCTCCTGCCGAACCTGCTGGGGCCCTCCACAGGCTGCCCGGGGAGGCGAAGCGGACCGTGGAGCCACGTGGCCAACAGGAGCACCAGTTCAGAGCCCCCCACCCCCCCCACCTCCTGCCCTGCACAGGCCAGGAGGCCCATGTCCCTACCACTCAGCCTCAGGGTCACTACGGCCCTGAGCCCTGCTGTGGCCTGGAGGGGAGATAAGGTCGGGCCCCTCAGCTTCTCCACCTGACTCTGGCGCTTGCTTTCCCCTCCTCTTCTCCAAGACCCTCCTCCCTTCTGACACCTTCCTCCCTTTCTCACTTCTCTCCCATTCCCCATGCTCACTCTTTGCTCCACACTCATCAAGGCCCCGTTGCCCATCCCATCTCCTTAGGGCCACAGACTTGAAGAACCAGCCCCCACCCCAAGCCCGGCCACCCGTTGGAGGCAGCACAGGTACCATGGACACAGCGGAGAAGCCGCTGGGGTAAGGATTTGGCATTTGGGGAAAGCCCTGGAGAAAGGCTCCACCTCTTTTGCTCAGGCCAACACCAGCCCTCTCCCATCCTCTACCCCCGCCGCCTCCCCTCTGACCCTGCCCAAGGCTCCAGTCTACCAACGGCTCTCCCTCGGGCCGCCATCTAAAAGGTGAGCCTGTGAAGTGACTCCATGTGACCAAGGTCTCACGTACAAGGACACAGAGAACAAGGTGCCTTCTTACAGGTCCCCCCTTGGACTCCAGCTCCACCCACCCCTGCAGGAAGAAGTGAGCTGGCACTGATGAGTTCCAGCCTGGTCTGGGGCGCTACGGCTGCCTTCCTCCCTCCAGACAGGCCAGGGGGACTGAGCCTTTACCCAGCCTCTACGAGGGTAGAACTGGGACAAGACCTCACACTGGCCACGCCCCCGGAGGTAACTCAGGCTGGGGGTGTGTTAGTCCAAGTGGCCTTGAAAGTACTTGAGAGATGAGGGGACAACAGCTTGGTATGAGCTTTGCACCACATTCCTCCTCCCTTCCCTTCCCCCCACCAGGCCGTGAGGGCCCTGGGTCCCCCATCCACCCCTGACCCACTTGATGGGCCTCCCTTTCTGCTTCTCTGCCCGTGCCCCCTTTCCACCCTGGGCGGGAATAAGGCATGTGAGGCCGGACCTTGGGTCACCACCGCCACCACCTTCTTCAGCACTGCTGAACTGGGGGCAAGGGGCAGCAGAGTGGCACGTGCCCTGTACTTGACGTCAGACCGGCCTGAGTACAGGTCTTGGCTCTGTCACTTACTAGCTGGGCATCCCAGGGCAAGTTACTTCTCTGAGCCTTCATTTCCCTATCCATAAAATGGGGATGGCAGTAATACGTATTTTGCAGGATTGTTGAGAGGGCTCAGTTCATATATGTCAAAGAAATCTGTGCCCATAAAGTGCTAGGCCAAAGATGGGGGTGATTGTGGCCTCGGGGAATGGGGAACGGGCCCTCCCAGCCTGGGCCTGGCAGGAGTAGGGGATGGGCTGGGGCTGGGGCTGGGGCAGCTGGGTAACCTGTTCAGGACCAAACACTTCCCTCCCTCCTGCCTGCCACCATGTGTCAAGTTTTCCCAAGCGAGGGGGGTGGGGAACCCCAGACCCACCTTCAGAGGAGAAGGTAGATGCTTCGGTGCTAGATGGCACACCAGCCAGCCGATGTCCTCTCTCCCAGCCGGGTAACCTGTTTACGTCTGAGAGAGTACAGAGTGGCGGTGGCGGCAGCCCCCTCCCCATGCCATTCATGCCTCAAACATTCCCTGACAAGCTCCACCCGCGCCCTGGAGATGCGGGGAAATTAAAAAAAAAACCCAACAGCCCCTGTTCTCAAGGAGAGGAGAGGGACACAGAAGACGAACAGTTCAGGGCAGCGGCACGATGCAGACACTGATGGGAAGGGAGGTGGTGGGAGGAAGGCCTGTGGGAGCAGAGAACAAGAGCAGCAGGGCTGGGGGTGGGGGGTGATGAGGAAGACTTCCTGGAAGAAGCGTAAGAGGAGCGGAGTCTGGAGTAACGATTGGGAGTGAGCCGGAGCCTAGGCAAGGAGGGACAATTCCAGGAATTCCCAGGGCGTGTGGAGGCTGGTCAGACAGTGTCCCTCGGCTGGGGCCACAGCTCCATCAGCAACAAAGGCAGAATCTGCCACTTGCCTTGCTTTCCCCCAATTAGCTTTGTCCTTTGAGGCATCAGAGCTGAGTCCTGCTCCTTGAGCTGATTGCTTGGGGGACTTTAGCAGGGCCTTCGGTGGCACTTGGTCATCTTTCTACAGGTCCCTGGTCAGCTCCTTCTATTTTCCACGGCTCAGTAAGTACCCAAAATGTATTGAATGAATGAATGAATGAAACTTCCAGCACCTTCCTGGAAGTTCCTGCCCTGCTGCTGTTCCCCTCACTCAGCTCATTGCACCAGCATTATCTGAGGCTGCTCCCACCCTCATCAACTCTCCTCCAGCCTGGGGAAGTATCCCTCCACCTTCCTCCTGCCCAAAGCACCTGAATTCTAGGTCTCAGCCAGAATTTCCACCTCTTCACTGTTTTTGTTTTTTTCTTACAGGCAATGAGTATCTTTAAACAAAACACTCTATAAACCCCGTTTCTCCCTCTACCACTGCATATCCCACCTCTCTTCCTTTTCAATCCAGATTTATTCACTCCTTCATTTAACAGACATATTAGCTTCACTAGGCACCAGTGAAGGAGGCCCAGTTCCTATCTTCAGTGAGCTCAGAGTCTCCACCTCTCTTCCATGCCAGCCACATACAACATGGCAGCTACTGGGCCCTTCTATCAAAAAAGCCCAGGCAAAGGTCACCAACGATTTCCTTTTTTTTCTTTTTTTAATTATTTTTTTAAAGTAATCTCTATGGGGCGCCTGGGTGGCTCAGTTGGTTAAGCGACTGCCTTCGGCTCAGGTCATGATCCTGAAGTCCCGGGATCGAGTCCCACATCGGGCTTCCTGCTCGGCGGGGAGTCTGCTTCTCCCTCTGACCCTCTTCCCTCTCGTGCTTTCTATCTCTCATTCTCTCTCTCTCTGAAATAAATAAATATAATCTTAAAAAAAAAGTAATCTCTATGTCCAACGTGGGGCTCGAACTCACAACCCCGAGATCAAGAGTCCCATGCTCTATGGACTGAGCCAGTCAGGTGCCCCCCCCCCAACGATTTCCTAATAGCTAAACCCAGTGGCCTTCTTTTCGTCTCATCTCACCTGACACTGTTGACCAATCAATCTCTTTTCTCCTGCAAACTGTTCTTCTGACTCCCATGACAGGCCTCTCTCATGTCATCTGCCTTCCTTCCCTGACTAGCTGTTTAGTTCTTTCCTGACTTCTTTGTGGTTTCCTTTTCCTCTGCTGCACCCCTAAAATTGGTGACTACCAGGGTTCTGTGTTTGACCTCCTTCTCAAAGACTCTACAGCCTTCTCTTGGATAATGTCATCCACTTACATGGTTTCAACATCCACCAAAAAAATGACAAAAATCAGGGTCTCCAATCCAGACTGCTTTCCTGAGCACCGTCAATATCCTCTTGGACTTTCCCAAAACATCTTAGACCAGCATGTCCCACACAAGCCTATCATCTTCTCCTCACCCTCCATAAACCATCTCCTCTTGTCTCTTCCATTTCAGAGAGGAACAGACACCTCAGCTAGAAATCTAGGGATCATTCTTTCCTTCACCTCTACACCAACTTGATGACCAAGTCTTGCCATGCCTACCTGCCCCCCACATCTGCCTCTCTCTTGGTTCAGACCTCCATGATCCCTAAAACCGCTGCAGGAGCCTCCTACCTGGCCTCCCTGCCTTCTGTTTCACTACCCTCGTGCAGTCTTCACAATGCAGCCAAACTGAGTTTTCTAGAATACCAAGTGGTCTACCACGTTCCTTCTGTTCAATAGCCATCCACTGCCTTCAGGATGAAGTGAAACTCCTTATCATGATATAACTGACCCCCCAGGCCCCAGGCCCTGGTTCCTTCCTCAGTTATACGTTTCTCCCATGCATTCATCCTTCTTCCCACCCCTCGCTTCTCCATTCCTTCTCTCCCGCCTCTCCCTCCCCAGAAATACCTGTTCATCTTGGAAAGAACAATGTTATCTACCCAAGTAGAATTGGTCACACATGTCTTGTGCCCCTTTACCCTGCCGTGGTACTTCATGCACTTACTCTATGGCAACATGTGAACAAGGCCCATATTTTATCTGCCTTTGTATCTGCGAGTCCTGGGACATGAAAAGTGCCCAGTAAATGTTGGTTGATTGAATGGCTACATGAGTAGAATAAAACAAACCCTCTATTGGAACCACAAAGAAGCTATAGCGTTAGAGATTCTGCCCAGGGTTCAAAACAGGAGACTTTTCTAGAAGAAGAAAATTGAACCAGGATGAGCATCTTCCCAACATTAGGCAGTGTGCTGGCCTTTTAAAATATGCCTTTGATTCGAAATCCTCACCACAATGCATTCTATCGATGGGGGTCAGAGACTGAGGATAAAAAACCTGTCCAAAGACACAAGTTAATGGGGCGCCTGGGTGGCTCAGTCGTTAAGCGTCTGCCTTCGGCTCAGGTCATGATCCCAGGGTCCTGGGATCGAGCCCCGCATCAGGCTCCCCCCTCCGCGGGAAGCCCGCTTCTCCCTCTCCCACTCCCCCTGCTCATGTTCCCTCTCTCGCTGTCTCTCTCTCTCTCTGTTGAATAAATAAATAAAATCTTTAAAAAAAAAAAAGGTAATAATGCTTCAAGGAACGAACATGAGAACTCTTTACAGTGCTTGCTCATGCCAGGGCACATTATCATCATCACTTTTGTACTCTGCAATACTGAGATAGTATTTCTAAGGGGGTGTCTTCTCTCCAAGAAGGGGTGATC